GTTACTTGGCTGTCTTCTTGGCTAGCAGCGTTAGCTGAGTTAGCTCCTCTGGTAGCAACAGCGGGCAGGCGGGTCTGCACACATCGTTTTCTTTCACTCGCCGTCGTCATATTTCGGTCAAATTGCTCAGATATAGTGAGCGTGCACACAAGCTTCAAGTAGGATGTTGGTAGGAGAGGTTTCAAAGTTATTCGTTTAAAATAATGTTGACGGGGCTAGGAGCTCCTCTACAGCGCAGCCATTCCCTTGCACCTCATCACGTGACTCCCTCTTTTAAATTTTTGACAACCTCTCATTACAAAGCAAAATGCAGGCAATCCTTCCTAATTGATAAGGAGAGCCGCTTTGTTTGCTTTGTCATGATGTTGATGATGTTGTCATGATGTTTTTAAGAGATCTGACCCACATGCAGGAAACCACTCAGAGAACCAGAGGAAAAGTTTAACAGGTTTATTGAAATAATCAATAGGGTTGATCCAGGCTAACTCAGAGTTCTGGTGCAACAGAACTGGAAGTAAGAAGGGAAGTTCAGAGGTTAGTTCAGGGTCGGTGGGAACTTTGACCAACCTCTTGCAAAAATCAGAGATGAACGGGACTCACATTAGCAGAAAAAGGTTCTCTTTCCAGAATCCAGACGGTGTGGGCTTATCCAGAGATTGGGGGCTCGTTGGAGGGCGGACAGGTTTTTGGTTTAGTTGGTTCCTTGAGGAGCAATGGAGCGGACTGCCACTTAGATTTCCAGGAGAACTTGAACGGGTCGTGTGGTGATTAATCCCCTGCTCAGTGTAAAGCTCAAAACAACCCTTTCAGGGGGAGAAGGCCAAAAATCCAGTTTGCAGGATGACTTCCTGCCGAAAAGGCAAAGACAAAATCAAGGTTAGAACTCAGAGAGACAAAGACTCAGTTTGACTCAACTAAACTCAGCTTGGCTAGAGTTCCCAAAACTGGCAAACACTCTGAAGTCGGGGTAGTGGCAGTCCACCGCTTAAGAGTCCTCTGTAACGAGCACAACCAGCCGCAGGTGTGAGGAAGGACCAGGGCGGAACAGGGCGCCATCTGGTGGTGGAGGGAGAGAACACAAAAAACAAACACAGCCCACACACACTGGATTCCTAACAATGACCACTAATGTCTATAATGCACATTATTGTTTAAATATATTTTTTTATTTTTAAATATATTATATGTTAATAAATAATGTAGACTTTAAATATTAACTGGACACCCCTCAGTCTACATTGGTTATTAACTGGACACCCCTNTATAAACTGGACACCCCTCAGTCTACATTGGTTATTAACTGGACACCCCTCAGTCTACATTGGTTATAAACTGGACACCCCTCAGTCTACATTGGATATTAACTGCCCCCCCCCCCCCCCCTCTGGATGGGAGGTAGAAGGTCAGTGAAGCAGGATTGGATTCTGCCGCAGCCTGGAGGAGGAGAGGAGGGGGGAGAGGAGGGAGAGGAGGAGAGGTGGGGGGAGAGGAGGGGAGGAGGAATTCTGACGCGGGACGTTTGCGGAGCTCCGCGGATTGTTGTCTCCAGCTGCTCCTGATGATGGGAACCAGGAATGATCCGGAGCGGCTCCTCAGGATGGGCAGAGATCAGCTTTAACTTCAGCTGCTGGGACATGGTAGGACGGCTGGACTCACTGTCCGCCTCAGGCTGCTGCGGGGCGGGGAGGGAAGGAGGAACAGGCGGCTCCTCTCGGAGCTAGCGGAGGAAGTCAGCAGCCGGTCAGCAGGACTTAGCCTGGGAATCTAACCCGCAGCCTCTCTAACTGTAACTTTTACTGGCGGCTCCACGGTCCTCTCATCCACTTGGCGTTTCCCGTCCAAGGCGGAAGTGAGCAGCGTGGATCCATCCCTGCAGCTGTCTCTCTGAGGCCGGATAGGAGCAGCGGCTGGGCGGGCTGCTGTCCTCACAGGCTCCGGTTCCTCCATCCTGGAGGGAAGATCTGCTCTCAGTGCGGGGAAGCTATGGTGGTCATGGAGCCTCCGCAGGGGAGCTCGGTGCTCTGGAGAGGAGCAGGCCTGTTCTGGGAAGGCCAGGCTCAATGCCCCCCCTCCTCCTACTCCTCCTCCTCCACCTCCTCCTCCCCTTTATGGAAGGCTGGATTCTTTACATGTTTACATTAGTCAGCAGAAAATGGCTGCAGTGAAAGCCAGGGGGGTAGAGTTAAAATATAAGGCCGGCAGAGGGCCTCCTTCCCCACATAGAGACACACTGAGACTTAGACAACTTTATTGTTATTCTTTTACAGTTTATACAAAACCAGATTTCCTTTAGTGGCGCTTTCAGACAGTAAATGAACATTTCCATCCATAAAGTGCAGCAGTGATCAAATGTAAACAGTTTGGGAGAAAAAACATGGAGCAAAAAAGTGCATTAATATCTATGGTGCAGATCTGCAGTGTTGGTTTGGTGTCATCAGTGTGATGCAGAGTTTATCCATCAGTTGATCAGTGTGATGGCGGTGGGGAAGAAGCTGCTGCAGAACCTGCTGGTCCTGCATTGAATGCTGGGAAGCCTCTTCCCAGAGGGCAGCAGGGAGAACAGTCCATGGTGGGGGGGTGGGGGGTCATTGATGATGTCACGGGCTCGGGACACGCAGCGCTGGGATGAAATGTCTTTAATGTCATGAAAAGTCATGAAGGAGCACTCACTGTGA